TACTACTCTTTACTTTAAAACAGTCTTGGTGTTAGCAGGTAGCCTGTTCCTGTCCTGTTATTTTAGCCCATAGACTGTATATAAAAATGGTCGTAGACTCCAGGTCTGAAAAGTAAAGCCAATGCGGAATTGTGTTAAATCTGCATACTATCTAGTGACCATCAGGGGGCGACTCCACTGGTTGCAAAAATAAGTCTGATTGTATCATAGACTGGTTTAGCCCTACCACTGGTGGTGGTGACGTGTGCCACAAAACACCTGATAAAATCCCTCTCAACACCGCCATGAGTGCAGGGCACCAAAATCTTCTACTAAAAACAGAAAATATCTCATTCTAAAAAATACATAATCTACTAGCAGCTCTACAGATTGGCCAATAACTGAAAATGCCAACCCCAACAAGACCCTCAAATTTGGTATTATAAATATCAGATAATGAATATAAATGATATTATTGTTCAGCATAATCTGGATATGATTGGTTTATGTGAAACATGACTTAAACCAAATGTTTTCTTACCACTGAGTGAAACTTCCCTACCTGAGTATGTCAATGCCCATGTTGCTTGGCCTACTAAACAAAGTGGGGGTGATGCCTTAATCTGCAAGTCTATATCAATTTGAACTCTTTTGAGGCTCATGCACTAAAACCATCTCCATCAGCTATAAATAGCTTTGTCTAGGACAACAGACTCCGACCATCCCAACTTGTGGTACTCTACAGACCACCTGAGCCCTTATTCACAATTTATAGAAGAATTAAGAAGAGAGCGCAAATGTCTTCTAGCTCCAATGGCATGAGTGTGTTTTGAATTACAAGCACTCAATCTCCACTACTAGAGCAGCATATTTCTCTCACTTAATCAGTAACAATATACATAATCCTATATTCCTTTAGGCAAACATATTAGAAAGCAGCTGTCTCTTCCTTTACTTCCCATGGTTTTTTACACTTGTTCTGCAGTAAAATATATGAGATTAGATACGAAATTAGTTCCTCAACTCCAGCATTTTCTGCAGAATCATTTGAGCATCGTGCTGAATCCCAGATAATCTCTGCTTTAACAAATTCTGTGACTATATATCTGGAATCATTATCTAAGATGGTGTGAGCTTCTTAACCTGCCTCTTCGACCCTCTAGCAAAACTTTCCGAAGGATTCTGGCCAGTTATGGGACCTACAATCCTAAATATTCTTCATTTGTCACTTGCATCTGGCATTGTGGCCGCTAGTTAAAAAACATTTGTGGTTAAACTGCTACTTGAGACACCACACTTTGATTCAGGGTCTCTTCAGAACTGTCGACCAGTCTCTAACCTTTCATTCTTTTCAGTGCTGGAAACAGTTGTGTCTAAGCAGCTGTCAGACACACATATCTAACAGTAGTCTTTTTGAACCTTTTCAGTCTGCTGACTCCACTGAAACTGCAGTTACCAAAGTGGTAAAATTATTATTTGCTCACTATGGATTCAGATTCTACCTGTGTACTCTTACTCAATCTCAGCTGCAGCTTTTTATATGATAGATCACTGCATAGTCCTTGACCAATTGTAAAACCAATTTGGTGTCACTTTTCAATCTATATATTTCACCTCTTGGCCAAATTATACAAATTCATGTAATTAATTTCCACTGCTACACTGATGATACTTAGCTGTATCTTACTGTCAAAGCTGGTGACCCTTCTCAAAGGTGACCCTGATCAAATTAGTCATTTGTCTGCTGGCAAAAGCTAAAGGTCAAAAAATGTCCTGCACCGAATTTCCGATAAAACTGAGATGCTGGTTATTGGCTTGGCCCGACACAGACGCACAGTAAATTCAACAACTATGTAATTTCCCAGAATATGACAGCCAAGAACCATGATGTTACTTTTGATCCTTCCCTCATCTTTCATCAGCACATTAAGGAAATCACTGAGACCGCCTGATTCTATCTTTTCTCTCTGTCTATTGCAGATGCTGAGACTCTAATCCACATCTTTGTGTCATCCAGACTGGATTATTGTAACATTTTGTTTTCTGGCCTGCCAGATAGTAGAACTAAATCGTTCGGAGGGCTACAGCTAGAAGTTTAACTGAATCCAGAATATTTGACCACATTACACAGATTTTACATTCCCTTCATTGGCTCCCTTTCCAACCTGTCTGATCTCCTTAAACTTTATATTCTATCCTATGCTCTTTGCTCTCAGAGTGCAGGGGCCCTGTCTGTCCCTGGACTTAAAAAGATGTCAGCAAGCTGCAGAGCCTTTTCCTATCGTGCCCCCTCCCTCTGGAACAACCTCCCTGCTGACATCAGACTTTCTGACTGCATTTAAATCCAAACTTAAAACTCTTGATTATTCCATTAAACCTAGGACTTCCATCATAGTCGATGGTGTCCTGCTGATGAGGTTGCTGTAAACTTTCTGAAACCACTGCATCTCTCTAACCCACTGTTTATTCCCTCGAATTTAGGAACACACCCCCCCCAACCCCTACTTCCTCCTCCCTGTCCTCTCTTTTCACTCAGGCTCTCTTTTCTGGATCATCTGCCGTTCTGGGACCTCACTCCCTCATTCCCTGGCTTCTCCCTCTCTCGCTGTCTCTCTGTGTTTGTTTCCTTTTCCTAGACGTGTGAATGACGTGCTTGGTTTCACCTCTTGCATGTTTATGTAGTCCTTTTTCTAGTTCTTCACGGTGGAGGAGGTTGTGTGTCTCAGGTCTTATCTATTGGTTGCACCTGGAAGCTGCTCCTCCCAGACCATATTCTTCATTAATGCTTACAGTATTTGGTGCTCTATTATACAACATCTATTGCATGTCCATCCTGAAAGAGGAATTCCTCCTCTGTTGCTCCTCATGAAGTTTCTTCCATATTTTTCCTTGTCCGAGTCTAAAGACAGAGGGTGTTGTAATGCCGTACAGATTTTTAAGCCCCTTGAGGAAAATTGTGGTTTGTGATTTATAAATAAAATTTGACTTGACTTGACTTCTCTGTCATGCCCACATGACAGACTGCTCTGATGCCCAGCCTGGTGTTTTGAAGTCATGAAGTTGTAACGGACTCTGATGTGTGATACTAGCCAGTGTTAGCATGTGATACTAAACAGACACACCTTGCATACCTGATAGAGCTGATTTCACCTGTGTGTGGAGAAAGAGATGTTTCAATTTAGCAAAAAATATATGGACAAGAACGTTCTTAGTGAAAATGGCCTTCTGTCTGTGGCACCTTCATCTTAATCAGGGTGACACTGAGCAGTATGTGGTGAACTGACAGATGGTCTGTATCACACAGGCTGTAATAGCAGGCGTGTACCCTTCAATATGATATTAACATAACATAACAATATTTTTTCATTTTAGTTTTAAACCAGAACCACTATTGCAAAAAACTATGATTCAAACATGGCCATGGAAATATATTGTCACTGTTAGATTTCTGTATCGCTGCAAAAATAATACAAAGAACCTTAAATCATCAATCAGAAACAGCCAAGGCTACTGTATGAGGAAGAAATACTCACACATTTTACTATAATAAAAGCAGTAATACCACAATAGAAAAATGTTCCAAGTAAACATGCGTTCAAAATCTTACGTACGAAAAAATATATGAGTAAAACTTGGCAGAATCCCCCCTTTCAGTGTGTCACATTGTATAATTAATAGTATTACATTAGCACTGGCACATCAACATGTAAGCAGCCTTTTTTTGTTGTGGATGGTTGAGGCAGATCTAGTTAAGTAGCACTACATCATGATTTAGACACTATTCACATATTTATGTATCTCAATCTGCATAGCTGTCAGATAATTGTTGGTGTAAGTTTTCCTCTACAATCTAGTGGAGTAGAAGTATATAATAGCATGAAATGAAAATACTCAAGTACTTTACTTAAGTAGCCTAAGCACCTTAAAATTGTACTAAAATTGTACAGCAACAGTAAATCTGTTCTCTTCTGTACTGAATTCACCCATGATCAGACTGAAGATCCCTCAGTTCCTTGTGTCTGCTGAGTCTCATGAAGGAGTGTTATACTCTCTCTCTTTCTCTTGCTCGCCCTCCCTCTCTATCTCTTAACAAATCATATCAAAGAAACAGCAGAGCTGTGTGGGCAGAAAGTTAAAGGAGAGGCGGCGGAGCTGCTGCCGACACACTCTGCTCAGCACCACGGACAGCGATCGATCGGAAAATCGGACACAAGCTATCCATCGATATTGCATTATTGGAAAATCAGAGGACTGAATTAACACCAGAAGTTTGGTTTGGGGGATCTGTTCATTTGAATTTGAATTCACGCATACTTGGACTTTTTTCACTGCTCGCCAAAGTAAGTCTGCTCTTGATAAATCACGAGTGTACTAAATGGGTGGTTTAAAACTGTGTCGTTGCATTCGGAGTGCATGACGTTATGGCACCACATAACCTACTTAAAGGTTATAGCACATACTCAGTCAATATTACAGAGATTATAGTCCAGTAGATCTGCCGTGCGTAAAAGCAGTGGCGCTGTTCCAAATGACTCTCCCTCGACGCACGACGGATGACTTGTAAGGCTATGTGTTTGCGATGTCAGGCAGAAGGAGAAGGCAAATAATTTAGGGCTGTGACAAACCCAGAGACACCGGAGAGGTGACAACGACAATACTAAAGCTCAGCGGCTTGTATTGCGTAAATACTGATACGACTCCTTGCGAAAACTACTTCAATGTTATGTTAGAATGTAGGATGAATAGCTTCACAACTTTCCTCTTTGGAGTTGGTGCACACAATCAAACTTAAATTTGAGACAAACTAAACTGTAAATCAGACACATTAAACCACTTTTCTTCATTTTTAGCCGATATCCTATAGTGTGGTGGCTGCTGACTCTCTCCTCTTCCTGATCTGTTCCAAAGAAAGCATGGAAACCAACAGGGTAGAAGAGAATACTTTTTTCTAAATCTTTGGAAACAGGAGGAAACAAAATTACATCTGGATCGTGTGGCACGATCTTCCCTATTCAACTATAATGGAGCCTCTAGACCAGACCCAATGGATTCCCCTCTCATCAGACCTCGATTCCTCCTCTGCAGCAACTCCCTCATCATTCCTCTTTTCTTACCCCCGCCTCTTCAACATCTCCTCCAACCTGTCCACTCAGAGTGTCCCCTTTCAGGGCAGCAGCACTCTGGTGACAGCGGTCATCTCTCTCACGGTCTTCATGGTGGGTCTCACTGGCAACACTCTGGCCATCTACGTGTTGCTGCGCTACGCCAAGATGAAGACTGTCACCAACATCTACATCCTGAACCTGGCTGTGGCTGATGAGCTCTACATCATCGGGCTCCCCTTCCTCACCACACAGAATGTGCTCTCCTATTGGCCCTTTGGCTCCTTCCTGTGCCGCGTGGTCATGACTGCAGACTCTATGAACCAGTTTACGTCTATTTTCTGCCTGACGGTCATGTCCATCGATCGTTACCTGGCTGTGGTTCATCCCATCCGCAGCACCAAGTGGAGACACCCCCGCGTGGCCAAGGTGGTGAGCGCAGCTGTGTGGGCCGTGTCCTTTGTGGTGGTCCTGCCGGTGGTCATCTTCTCTGATGTCCAGGTAGAAAACCCAGTCCTGGTTAACGTTATGTCTTTGAAGGCCTATGTCCCAGTGCCAGAGGTCAAAACGTTAGATAGGACCACAAAACACAGCGAGGTGACCCCTGCAGGTCCCTCTTAAATTTACATTTAATAAGGCAACTATTCAAAGAGCCACAGTGGTGGTTCTGCATTTTAATTCATTAATGACAAATTGTCTGTATCAGTACCTACATTTATTCATTATGTCATTATATCATTTCAAAATTACATTTTGTTTAAACAGGCTTTATTAAGATGAAAAAGTGGATCTTTGCCAAAACAGGTCATATCGTAAACAAGATAAGAACTAACAACAAAAAAGATAATACATCATGTCAGAAAATGAGGACATGAAGACCCACCACTCAGCTGTATGCTAAACATGACGCTAAAGCCAGTTAGCTTATCTTAGCACAAAGATCCATAAATAGGATAGCCTGGATGTGTTCGAAAATCATTTAGTGTTTTAAAAACCTGTCCTTACAATTGTTAGTGTAGCCAAAAGAAACTGTCAATATTGATTTATACAGTAACCTGCCAAATGGCATAATACCACAACAAACAACCAAATTCTTGCCAAAAACAATCAGGAATGATGTTACCGGATGAAGGCACCAGACCGAAGTGTCAGACTCTTCTCTTTAGAACTCTTAAGCTGCTCTAATCAATACTTTTGTTATTACCAATGGATAAATCATGACTAATGCGAAAGCGCTCACTTCTAGTGTCAAACCTACTCTGCAGTTACCCTTGATTTACCTTCTTTCAGCTGACTGTTTTGGATTTACAACCTGAAACCTTATGTTCACTGTCACTGTTCTCAAAACCTATTGTCCAGTAACAGCAGGGAACTGTTTTCAGTGGAAAAGCTCTGACAGACTCACCGTACGCTAGTTGCCCAACACCGAACAACAAATAGACAAAGCTCGCGACTAGCTGTTGAACATAATGGACCATTTAGCAGCAGCTGTTTCTCTGAGAAGTTGGTGGAAACCAAAAGCAGAACTAAGAGGAGAGTGAATTAGACTTAGATTTGTTGGGTGGCCAGAAACACAACTCCAAATTAATATTAATCTTGCTCTGTGCCTGCTGGATGTGTGTGTGTTGGGTTTACAGCTTGTTGTGCTGTCCAAAAGTGGCCAAGCAAATAAATGAAATATAAAGCAGGTTTAAAACTTCAGAAGTATGTGTCTAGATGGAAAGAATGCCTTTTTCCTCTCTATAGTATCTCTTGGTATTTACGGAACTTGAAGGGCTGTAATGGAAAAAACAGGCAAGTTGTTGCTGAGATGCTAGACATGCAAACTGAGTTAAAACACACTGTTCAGTGTCTTTTGTTCAGAAGTTTAGCAGAGGCTTTTATATGTGCATGGAAAGAAAAGTATTGCAGAAATTTCTGTAACAGCAAGAAAACAGCAAAGCTTTTGAATAGATAAAAGGTAAGAGGAAAATTTAACTTCTGACAAATGCGGCAGTTTTGCTGGTGAAGGACATCGGTTTGATAACAACAGGAGGCAAGGCAGCTGTGCTGGGTTAAAGTGAATTGTCGGTTTGACACAAACTAAACACATTAATGTCTGGAAATGTCTTCCACAATGCAAAACATGCTTCTTAAAAAACCCCAAGAAGCAGATAATGTCATTTGCATTTCTCCAAACATCCTCTCTGCATAATTTATGGGCTTTGCAATTAAACTCTTCAAAGTGCAATGTTTACCTCTTGTATTCTACTCACTGTCAGACTGAGCAGATGACGATTGGATTTTTAATTTGCTGTGGTTTCCTTTAATATTTAAATTTCAATCAGCTTATTTCCTCTCTCTTTAGGAAACATTCAACTCCTGCAACATGATCTGGCCAGAGCCGAATGACGTGTGGTCGACAGCCTTCATCCTCTACACTGCCACGGTGGGCTTCTTTGGACCGCTGCTCATCATTTGCCTCTGCTACCTACTTATCGTCATCAAGGTGTGTAAGTGTGTATATGAAGCTGATTAAAAAAGCTCATGTATAAATTCATACTGTAATCTGCTTCCACATCAGGATAATTTCCATCATCCTCAACACCCTCTCCCTCATTTTCATCATCATCATCATTATCACTCTCATATTCATCCTCCTTACCATCATCATAATCAAACTATCATTGGTGTTTTCCCTGCAGGTGAAGTCCTCGGGGGCGCGGGCGGGCTTCACCAAGCGTCGTCGTTCGGAGCGTAAGGTGACGCGGATGGTGGTGGTGATCGTGGTGGTGTTTGTGCTCTGCTGGCTGCCGTTCTTCATCATCAACATGGTCAACCTGGTTGTCATCATCCCAGAGTCCAGCGTCACTGCCGGCATCTACTTCTTTGCTGTCATCCTGTCCTACGCCAACTCCTGCGCCAACCCGGTGCTCTACGGCTTCCTGTCAGACAACTTCAAACAGAGTTTCAGAAAAGTAAGTTGAATATTGTCTGGCTATCAACGCTGTGTACAGGCAAGGCGTAAAGAAATAATTACACATTTTGAGAAATACAAGTATTTGCTTTAATCCAAGAGTTACATCAACAGATTAAAACCACTCCCACGTCTCATCATGTGTTCAGTATGAAGCAGCCAGTTAGCCTAGCTTAGCATAAAGACTGGAAACAAGGGGGAACAGCTAGCCTGACTCTGCCTAAAGGCACAGGAGTACTTGTTTAAACCTTACAAATACATAAGTGCAAAAAACAACAAGTTGTGGTTCTACATCATGTGCCAGGCTATTTCTTGGCTGCAAGCAGTGACTTAACTGAAGGTGAAGGTAAAATGTCAAAGTAAACTGCATTAGTTTGAAACACTCTCCTCCCTCTTTGTTCTGTACTGGAAGAAGGGCATACAGTCTAGACATGGTTGCCTCTTCCATGCTTGACAGTACATTATGACATCTAAAGATCAGAATATATGCATATATTTTGAGTTTTCAGACATCTTTAAACATTATAGACGGGTGACAAATTAAAGGGAAAACCAACATAAAGTGTCTTAGTAAGGTGTTGGGCCACCCTGTGCCACCAGAATAGTTTCAATGCACCTTGGCATTGATTCTACAAGACCCTGAACTCTACTGGAGGGATAAACCATTTTTCCAAAAGATATTCCCTCATTATTGTTTTGATGGTGATGAGTGCTGTCTAAAGGTCCTAAATCTCCCATAGGTGTTCAACTGGGTTGAGTTCTGGTGACTTTTAAGTTCACAGCATATGATTCACATGTTTTTCAGACTCCTCACACTTATTGTCTCCTATAGATGGGGGAAGTTTTCCCTTTAATTTGACACCCGTCTGTATCTATATACAATATATATATATATTTATATTTTTTCTACTACAAGTCAGAGGGATCGCAGAGCATCTACATATAGGACAAATGAACAGATGGTGAAATATTTCCTCTGGCAACTAGGCCCCAGTTGAGAGCAGCTGATTGAGTTTGTAAACTCATGACTCATGTCAAAGTGTGAAAATATTTAATTTCTGCCTAGGTTCTGACTGATCACTTGATCAATAATACATCTGACAATGAGTGGTAGTGAGTAAACATGATCCACATTGCAAAAACCTCATACTTAATTTAAAAGTTAGTATAGTTAAAGGGAGGTTTGGTTTGGGTTAATTTACTTACTTACCTCACAAACTAAAAGATGCATTTTTTTTCTGCAAGCATATCTATCAATTTTCATTTGCTCTGCTCAAATATTATAATCAGGGTCCCAAATGCCACTCCTACACTTATAACTTACAAAGCTTTGTGACTTTTTATGCATTCCAACTTTCCAAAACTGACAATCTGACATTCACACCCACTCCTCACAGCAGTTGGCCAGCTCTGCAGCGTTGGTGGAGTTAGTTTGGTTTCTCTCAAGCTCGTTTTTGTTCTTCAAACACCTTTTTCTGTCACTTTTCATGCGAACAACTATGTGCAAAACTATGAATTCCTTTCACGTGACTTCCACAAGACTGTCCTAAACTGTATGCTGTTATCCCTCTATTTAAATGATTATCACATTTCCCTCCTCGCTATTATGACATGGCTTTTCACTCAGCCTTCTGGTGTGCCTTCCGATGTGGTCAGAGTCACGTCGTACAATCTAGTTCTTTTGTATCAAACCCCGAGTTTAAGTAGTAACCGCCTCAAATTTAAATCATCTGAATAGCACGACTCACTTGCTAAATTATCTTGCCTTGTTGTTTATTAGCCACAGTCAGCCTCTTTTTATTTTAGGTTAACTTAAAGCCACGATGTGTAGGATCTGAAAAGTCTTTACTTTGGCGCCATCTGGTGATAGTATCAAGTATTACAGTGTGGCAGACAATGCTCCACTTCTACACGAGTCGAGTAAGTAGCTACTGTTGCTTCCTGGAGATTTCTGATGTAGCTTGAAAGCATCCACAGATAATTGTTGTTGTGGTCCTGCAGGTGCTGTGTGTGAAGAGTATGAGGTGCAAGGCCAATGGTGTAGATGATGGTGACCCCAGTGCCCCACGTACTGAGAAAACCACAGCACATGACCTTGTCCTGCTCTCCCCTCGAAACCAAGTCTACCATGATCCCCAGAGCAGCCAGGTACTCTCTCTCTTTCTGTGTGTGTTGTTGTTGTTGTTGGTCCTGCTGTTGTTGTGTGTAGGCAGAGGGTTTTTTGGGGCAAAAAATGGGAAATGAAGTGACAAGGAAAAACAAAATCATTACAGAAAAAAATGATAGAGGTGTGTTGACACACACACACACACACACACACACACACACACACACACACACACACACACACACACACACACACACACACACACCAACTCTCTGCATCACCAATGAGTCTTTGGCAGCCCAACACATCTGAATTAATCAACAGGCAGGTGTGTGTGTGTGTGTGTGTGTGTGTGTGTGTGTGTGTGTGTGTGTGTGTGTGTAGCAGCTAATTGAAGAAGGATGGTAGATTAATGCTGCTGTGGAGGCAATGATTAGGAAAAACTCTGAAGGCGGGAGTGCAAGATTATGAGATTATTAGTTCTGTGTGAGTTTGAGCGTGTGTGTGTGTGTGTGTGTGTGTGTGTCTGCGTTAGAAACAGGAGGGTGGTCAGGGAATGAAAAAGCTTTGACTCAGTCTTTGCAGCATGGGGGCTTCATAGTGTCCAATTAGATAACTTGTACAAAAGCAGCGAGGTGCATTAGACTGACAGAGCAGCTCTGATGAGACTCTCCCACGGCCCCTTCAGCTGGATCAAGGTTATCCAAACTATCAAAACTTCCCCGGTAAGTCACAGAGAATATGTTAGAGTCCAAATGCTCAATTATTCATGTATGGATCTGCTGGTTATTCTCAGAATTTATGTAAGTTCAAGTCATATCTCTTCATCTTCATGTGACCAGAAATGCAATGAGAGGCAAATTACTACTAACTCGCATTTGTATTTTAAACCTGGGTTTTAACAGCAAGTGCATTTAATTGTACAGGTCAGAGAATTGTAAATTATTTACTGAAAAGGTAAATAGTAAGTCTGGTATCAGTGAAATAAAATTACACTGGATTACATTCATTCGTACTTTTAACCTCGCCTCTCTCTTGCTTCAATATATTGCTTTTGATGCTTCCTCCCTCTGCTTTCCTATGATTCTGGCTCTCTTCTTCCTCTATGAAGATCTCTCCTCAGGCTCCAGACTCGCCTGCCTCGCACACAGCAGCAGACCTGCACCGCTTCAGCCCTACCTATCAATCTCCCTCCACTTGTCCAGGGATCGGATCCACCACTACCACGATAACCTCCACAGCAGCCTCCATGGTAACCAACATTGTAACCACTGCTGAACCTCCCACCACCACTGCCCTGACTACGCCCGCCTCCTCAGCCACCATAGCTCCACAGGAACACTAGCCAATAAACTCTGGATGTCAGGTGTTTTAGGAAATGAAAAGAGGAGCTGAGGAGGAAAAAAAACGTGATGATGTGAGACTATAGAGGAGGGAGCACAGTTGGATTAGCTGATGAAAAATGGAAAACACTGATGCTTCTCAGCAGTAACAATGTAAAACATGCACACTCATTCTAAATGCATTGTAGCATTGATGGGCCCTATCAGTGAAACAACCTGATGAATATTTTTCATGCCTCGATGTATGAATCACCTGTATGAATCACCAAGCCCTGGGTTTCTCTCCATCCAGCCATCTGACATAAGTGCCTTTTCAGCCACTCTCAGCAATCACCACGACTCCTAAAGACACACAAACATTCACACCTTACTTCTCTCACTTCCTGTTAGTCTGTCAGATAACATGTAAGAATGTATTAACTTTAAAGAACCAAAAATGCCATCAAGGACATATTTAAAGCCAGTGGAGAAGACTTCCCGCAGGTACCTGATATCTTTATTTTGGTAAACTGGGCATTACAGGGTTCTTTTATTATAGACATACGTGATTCAGGCTGGAAAGATGAAGGTATTTTCAGATAAAAATCTTGGCCTACTACAGCTTGAATGAAACTGCTAAACAGCACAATGCACTAATTCAGTATCAAGTTTTTTTCTGTGTTAAAAGTGCATTTTTCTGTTTCAAGCTCCCACTCACTGCTGTTCACTTTACTCAAATTAAATGGGCGTATTGTGATCAATGAACTTGACATCTGTACGGCTTTGTGGAAACAGTCTTCTGTAATCCTTTTTGTTTATTGTTTGTATTTGGTAAAAAATAGCTTGCTTGCTGTTTGTCAGCTTCCCAGTCACAGGAAATGTGACTCTGCGCCTGCTCAGTGACCTTCTGCAAACATGTAGCCAGCTCTGAAAACAAAACCTCTGACCTCTTTGTATATACGCCTCTTACTTTGTGTCTTTATAAACTTGTGTGTCATGTAGGTGTGTGTGTGTGTGTGTACATGTACATTTGTGGCATATGTACAGAATATGTGTATATGTTTTCTCTGCAGAAGCCGCGATGCTGCTAAATCCAGGGTTTACAGCAGCACGTATTGTTGCAAGTGTTACTGTATGAGCGCCATGTTTATTGTACAGTAGATGCTATTTGTGATCAGACTGGCAGCACATTATCAGCTCTCACAGCCTCTGTTAGCTTTGGCCTTTGAACTGCTTGTATTGCAACCGTGTCAGCCCTTGAGATTTTATTATCAAAGATCCTGTGTTGTGACAGGATGGAGAGGATTATACCACAGGCACAGAAAATACTTGTTTCTGAATGTTTGGGAGATACCCTTTAAAATCATATAACAGGACACCTCAGACATATTTCTGGTCAGTCATACTGAGCAACGCAGGCAACTATAGAAACAGTATTTCTGCTTTATGCTACGTCACCATTTAACACTGACAAGTGAAACAGACCTAAACAAAGACTAAAAACTATAAACCCACAATAAATTAATGGCAATCTGAGCACAGCTTCTCCTTTTGTGGTACAGTAAGTGACGGAGCAGAAAAACACATTCGTCTGTTATTTTTGTATTTTAGTGAACCTAAAGCATTCCAGTAGTATCGCTTATGTTTCTATTTTCTGGTCTCCATATTGTCACCACACAACCAGTCCCTTTATAAAACCAGTCATTGTGATTAAGGCTATTCAGTAAAAGCTAATTAGAATCAAACAATGTGTTTATTGTAGTAGCACATACTGTAATAGAGTGAGTATGAGTTCAGGTTATACTTTTTTTCAGCCACTTGTCATATGTGTAGAGAAAGAAAAACTCATCAGCGGCACGAGTAAGCTGACCCGGTGAATATAATGAGTGGAGGCGATGTCAGCGAAACTAATGGAAGCTGTCAAGAAAAAAAAAACAAGGCTTTTAATAATAAAGGCTTTTTCGTGCAAATACAGAGACTATGTTGTATACTTTACTAGATTATTTATAGTTGTTCAGATGCTTCAGTGCTGTATGTTTGTTGGGTTATATTGGAATAAAATGGTGTGATCATAAACCAAACATTTCTGCTTGCTGTTGTCACACAAACACACCCGGACAGCCGCGAACTGTCACTGTCATTCTGTGGAAATTTATAGACACATGAGCAGTCTGCACTTTTAAGCAGGCTGAGCGACAGACAGTGCCAGCTCTGTATGCTCTGTGAGGAACGCTTCCTCCGAGCTGCGGTCAGACAATGATATAACCATGATGATATAACCTCATTTCTTTAACTCACATGTCAACAATCCTGTCATGTCTCGCTATATGAAGCAATTTATGTGCATAGCAGCCAGTCACATTACTAGGCAGGGATTCAGTTGTGTGACGCAAACAATGAGAAATAAAACTATTGATTGACTGATTCACACATACGAAGTTCTCAGGGGCTAAGCAGCACGGGAGTGTATATAGCTCCCAAATATCACATTGTCTTTAGAGCTTCATAACTCCGCCATGGTTTGAGCTAGAGACATGCCGTTTTTTTCAACTTAAACTAGAAAATCAACGCTTTCCATGTGAGTCACTTCGGTCTACAAACTGCTATGAAAAGTTACGAAACATAGTCTTACCGTTTGCCTGGGGCATTGCCGATTTCTTTCTCTTAAGTTTAGGATCGATTCTCATCCGCCATCTTTGCTAGTGACGTCTAGAGGTATGTCACTGAATTTGACACTCCTATTGGCTCCGGGGGGTGCTGTCACAGCCAATCAGCGTCTGATTCAGAGGCTTGGCTGTCAGCTGCTTGTATACCCAAACTAAATGAAAGCAATATACTCTGAGCTCAAAGTGAGGGGGAGTTGGTGTAAGTTTATTGTAGAGACAGAAAAAAGACAGAAAGATATGGCCAGTTAGATACTTAGAGCAGCAGAGGCTCAAAAGAATGACCATAACTCATGAACAGATAAAGACAGAAACTTCAAATAACCACAAGCACAATCCAAACAAATGTGTGCAACTTTCTGTGTTGAAGTTTTCTTTTATTATGTTTTGCACTGATTTTACCTGTAATATCATGAAAAAAATCAAGGGTTTCTTTTTTCTTTTTTTGTTTTGTTTTTCTGTTTTATGGGCTACTATCCTCTATTATACCGTGCAGAAGTCTTTATTGATGCTTATTATTAGCTGAGGTTGTGTCTGAATCTGTGTAGTACTTGGTAAAACCAAGTTACAACTTTAAGTCAAAGAAAAGTCAAAAACAGAAAAGTCTTAATGTGGGTCTCAGAGTGTAAAGAAGTACATTATACTGAGCACATTTTCATTTAAACAAATATTCTAAAATCAAGTAACACTTTTGACCAAAAGACAGTCATCATATCCCAGTCACCTTTTTTATTTTATCACCCAGGAGTCTGTAGCAAGATCATGGAGGTCATTTACTGTATATTTGATATCAAATACCACATTCCAATATTTTATCACAGATATGTCTCCAAGGTCAAGAGTCACCTGATCCAGCCTGCCGCCCAGCTTACATTGCACCCTGACCTGATGCCTGTCCCTGCTGGTGGTGGGCCCAAAGGAAGGTGGCTCCATGTCATTTCTTTGGGCTGTGACCCCACTGGACTGCATGGGCCAAGGCCCAATCACCAGATGCACACCAGCGGGCTCCCCTCCCAGGTCTGGCTCCAGGAGGATGCCCCAGTTTCCCTTATCTCGGATAGATGACACCGTCTTGAAAATTGCCTTCCATCTGGTCGCTATTTGGCCTCTCCCCTGCAACCAATTTTCCTTTACCAGTCGATCTTCGTTCTGACCCTTGCCTATGGTCGTGAGCTTTGGGTAGTGACCAAAGGAACGAGATCACAGATACAAAATTTTGAAATGAGCTTCCTCTGCAGGGCGGCTGGGCTCATATAGAGCCAAATCTCAACCTAGGTTATCAGGAAGAACCCATTGAAAGCTGGAGGAGGGAGATAGAAGGGGAGAGAGAGGGAGCAGGAGGGAAGAGAACATACCACAATGCAAGTTGCATATAGAAATGTATAATAATAATGATAACAATAATGATAATAATAGTTGTAGTAGCAGGTGTTGAGCAGGATCAGGGGGCGGTATGCTTGCAGTCACAGATCCAGACTCTAGCTCCGGAGGCAGAAATACCTGCATAAAGTGACAGGAGGAGAGAGCGGAGGGATGAGAAAGCACAAAACTACAGGAGAGAGAAAATTGGTATGTGTTGCACCACCATTTTAACTTTAGTCATCAATAATTTAACTCAGAGGAGAGAAATGGCAGAAATCATATCCATATACTGTGTCATTATCTGACTCTGTGTGTCCTTGTGTGTGTCTTCTTTCCCAGAAAGGTCTTTAGAGACGGCCCATCTCTGTAATGACCACAGACTGGATGTCAGGTTGACTCTCCCTCATTGCTTATGTAGCCTCACACACACTAACACAGGCAATGTACACACTGTTAATAGCATAATGTAATAAATGATACATTATTTCATGAAATAATTCATATCATTTCATCCTCTTAAGACTGACATCACAGACGTGCATACGTGTACTTTCTGAGCAGAACATGGATTTTTTATCTTTGTACGCGTCCTTATCTTAAACACACAGCTTTGAGGAGAAAGAGATGTAGGGAAAGCATGCAGCGGGCCACTGTCTTTATTCATAAACCTATATTTTGTGCAACATCAAGCAGATGCATGAAGTACCTATGCTGAGAAGGTTTCCATCTTGGTTAATTAGTCTGTAATACATTTACATGAAATTTGGTGGACACACTGGCCCTTGACCATGAAATAATTCGTAAGATTGTGGTGGTCATCTGGGCCCAGCAAGGGACATGTAGTCAGAAGTGATGCAGAATGTCTTTCATGACTTTGTGTTTATTTCATATACAGTATGTCTTTGTGGTGATGCTGGCAAAAATGAAAAAGGCCATTGCATTCCTCCTGCATAGTTCCAGAGGTCACATGTTTTTTACCTTCAGGGAGTTTACACAGT